CACAGGACAAATCAGAGAAGTATTCACAATCACTGCTGATCAGTTCACTCAAATACTTCAGGAAGCTCTAGCCAAACAACGTGAAGAAATTAGAGCTGAAGTGAAGACAGAAATGAAGTTGGCTATCCAACAAATGAGAGAACTGTTAACTCAACAGCCTCAACCTCCTGAGTCCAATCAGCGACTTGAATCCAGCCACCACACTCGGAATGTTGTAGAGGACAGTGATCCAGAGGTGGATGAAGTCATTATGGCTGATACACCTCCCAATGACAATAACGCTGGGGGTGGTTTAACGGATCCTCCCAATAACGATATTGGGGGTGGTTCAATAGCACCTCTCACTGGGGGTGGTCCAATTATCTTTACTCGACATCATTCAGAAAGAAATGAAGACGATGACGGGAAAATGCAAAAACTTGAAGACAAAATCAATGCTTTGATGACGGCTCAAGAAGTTAAGAAGACGGGTATTCCATGTCCTTATCCGAGGGAATGGGATTCAATACCATACCCGACCAAATTCAATCTGATTAACTTCACACCGTTTGAAGGGAAGAGTTCGCCGATTCAACACTTGATTTATTTCAAGTCTCATTTGGGCATAATCTCTGGAAACGAGGCCTTAATGATCCGGTCATTCGTTGGCACCCTTCGTGGGCCCGCCTTCGATTGGTACCGACGGCTCAAGCCAGGGAGCATCAATTGCTGGGATGACATGGAAAGTTTGTTCCTCAGCAACTTCTTCGATGATGACACCGAAGTGTCAATCGGAACTCTTTTGGATGAGAAGCAAAAAGACGGAGAGTCAGTCGACAATTTTGTCAAGCGTTTCCGTAACATGGCGATGAATTGCAGAGATCCTATTACAGAGGAGTTCATCCTGCAAACGACATGGAAAGCTTGTTCCTCAGCAACTTCTTCGATGATGACACTGAAGTATCAATCGGAACACTTCTGGATGAGAAGCAAAAAGACGGAGAGTCAGTCGATAATTTTGTCAAACGCTTCCGTAACATGGCGATGAATTGCAGAGATCCTATTACAGAGGAGTTCATCCTGCAAACATGCCACAATAACCTCTCCATCGATGTCTTGGAAGCTCTGGGGGTTGAGCCGTCCACAACTTGGAAGGAGTTAAAATTTCGTGGCGAACAAGCTGAACACTTTCTTAAAAGAAAGGAAGCTGAGAAAGGCCAACAAATGACATCTGCAATCATTGGGAACGCAACTTTCGATCCGAAGTTTCAAAAAGAATATTCATTCGAAGAGGATGAAGCTCCAGCCATATTGGAATACCTCCTCGCTAATGACAAAATCGAGCTACCACCTATTAAAGATCAGGATGGAGCTAAGATGATTACGGATCCAAATTACTGTGCGTACCACAGAAGGATTCTTCATCCCACCGAAATTTGCTTTGGACTCAAAAACAAAATCCAAGCCTTAATTGACTCCGGCGTCATAACGGCGACAGTGGGAGCACGAGTAAAAGCTGACCATATTACTCCATTGGGTACACGAGTATAAACTGTTTCCCCTCACTCCAAAGAGTATACGAGTATAAACTGCTTCTCGGTTATCCAACTAAGTACAATGTTAAACCCAGTCTCGCAAAGGAAACTGGGGCTGGATGATTTATATAAAGGGAAGTTCCTGGAGAATCTTATATTCTTAAGGATAACCCAAACATGCGACTGAGGATAACGTACTCCTCATTACACCCAGTTTTACAAAGAAAACTGGGGGTGGATAATTCATGTAACGGGAAGTTCCCGGAAGAATGTTAAATGTAATATTCTTAGGGATAACCCGATCATTATGAACAAAGTGATAAACACTAAACTCCTACTATGAATTTCGAATACTCTTTTGCTGAGATGAGATTCGATCACCTCTTTAGATCAATCTTCCCTCACAAAACTCACATCTGGTCAAACCTCTCGATTCATTCTGTGACGAGAGGTCCACAAATTGAATGATCAAACCTTTAAACAGTTAGGATCATCTCGCTGCCTACTTGGTCAAACCTTTAAACAGTTAGGACCAAAACCAAAATCCCCTCTCGATTCATTCCGTGAACGAGAGGTCCACAAATTGAATGATCAAACCTTTAAACAGTTAGGATCATCTCGCTGCCTACTTGGTCAAACCTTTAAACAGTTAGGACCAAAACCAAAATCCCCTCTCGATTCGTTCCATGAACGAGAGGTCCACAAATTGAACGATCAAACCTTTAAAAATTGAATGATCAAACCTTTAAACAGTTAGGATCATCTCGCTGCCTACTTGGTCAAACCTTTAAACAGTTAGGACCAAAACCAAAATCCCCTCTCGATTCATTCCGTGAACGAGAGGTCCACAAATTGAACGATCAAACCTTTAAACAGTTAGGATCGTCTTAAATTCCTATTTGGTCAAACCTTTAAACAGTTAGGACCAAAGCCAAAATCCCCTCTCGATTCCTTCCATGAACGAGAGGTCCACAAATTGAATGATCAAACCTTTAAACAGTTAGGATCATCTCAAAACTCCCACTTGGTCAAACTCTCGATTCGTTCCATGAACGAGAGGTCCACAAATTGAACGATCAAACCTTTAAACAGTTAGGATCGTCTCAAATTCCCATCTTGGTCAAACCTTTAAACAGTTAGGACCAAAGCCAAAATCCCCTCTCGATTCATTCCGTGAACGAGAGGTCCACAAATTGAACGATCAAACCTTTAAACAGTTAGGATCGTCTCAAATTCCCATCTTGGTCAAACCTTTAAACAGTTAGGACCAAAGCCAAAATCCCCTCTCGATTCATTCCGTGAACGAGAGGTCCACAAATTGAATGATCAAACCTTTAAACAGTTAGGATCATCTCAGAACTCCCACTTGGTCAAACCTTACCACAGTTAGGACCAAAACCAAAATCCCCTTTCGATTCCTTCCATGAACGAGAGGTCCAGCTTCGATTTGTGCAATCAAAACTATAAAAGTTAAGATTGCTTCCAATCTCAATTGATCAAACCTTATTCAGATTCTCTGAATAGAAATCCCACTTCAAATTTCCTTTGTACCAGGAGATAGAATATAAAATTCTTCCTCTCCATCATCGGGTTCATCTCTACCAACAAACAAGAGACCAGGAGATAGAATATAAAATTCTTCCTCTCCATCATCGGGTTTATCTCTACCAACAAACAAGAGACCAGGAGATAGAATATAAAATTCTTCCCCTCCGATTCTGGGTTCATCTCTACCAACAAAATAGAGACCTAAATACTCCAATGGGTACATGAGTCTAAACTGTATTCCCACCCTCAATAGGAAGTTTCTGGAGAATATTAATATTCTTAAGGATAACCTGAGGAATTCTCAATGGATAGACCAATTCAGTGGTAAACGCTGAATTCACAAGAGCAAATACCAACTTCAATTCAGGATCTTAACAACGGTCAAGCGATAAACGCGACGCTGGGAGAATTGTAACTATTCTACGAAGAACTGAATAGACTAAAAACAGAAGAGATCAAGCATTGAAGTCGTGTACAAGTCCTTCCACACAATCTACTCAACCAAGCATTGAAGGGATCGTAAGCAAAACTTATCTTATCCAAAGTATCCCAGAACTCCTCTATAAAAGAATGAGTCTGGAATACTTTGGAGGGGGTATCTGTAGGCGTCAAAAAATGCTGAAAGATATCCAAATACAGCTCAAGAGGAAATCATCCAAAAAGGCAGAAGAACACAAGTATAGACTGTCTCACAGGCGAGACAGTCTTTACTGTCTCACCTGGCGAGACAGTCTTTACTGTCTCGCCCGGCGAGACAGACTTTTACTGTCTCGCCCAGGCGAGACAGTTTTCACTGTCTCGCCCCCGCGAGACAGTTTTCACTGTCTCGCCCCCGCGAGACAGTTTTCACTGTCTCGCCCAACGGAGTTTGAAACGTGGGAAAGCAGTTACATCGAAAACTGCCAGAAATGTAGACAGTATTTTACTGTCTCGCTGGGCGAGACAGCAAATTTACTGTCTCGCTGGGCGAGACAGCAAACACTGTCTCGGCCAGCGAGACAGCAAACACTGTCTCGCCCGCCGAGACAGCAAATGCTGTCTCGCGAGCATTGTTCATCCAGAGGGTTATAAATACCCCACGAAGGCCATTTTCGCAGGGGGCGGCCAGCAGAGATCAAAAGTTGAGCATTTGAGAGCAATCCAGAGCAGAGAGAGCAGAGATTTGGGTTCTTTTCTTGCAACGCCTTGAAATTAAGCTTTGACTTGATTTTAAGAAGAACGACTATCTTACTTCGATAAGATATCGTTTCAATTTCTACTTCGATAACGAAGTTAGAATCATAAGCCCCCTCTTCACGATCTGTGAATCGGCGGTCCACGAACCAAAGCGTTCCCGGCACAGGCAAAGTCCCACGAAAACGAGAATTGATAGACGATTTTCGTGTTTGTTTCTCAAGAGTTGTAATTTTTGATTTGTTGTGTAGAAAAAGTCTTATAAAAAGATTATTCTTTCGAATTTGTTGTAATCGAACAAAGTTATAATGAATTCCACAGCAGCGACTTTTGAACCAAACATGTATATGTTTAACTCCTGAGCTCAAGCTATATATATAACCATTTATCCATCTTTCTCCTTATCCGCCGCTCATTTTATGTATTTATTCAAGCCAAGCCTCGCATAAAATGAATGAGCATGCAGAGACACAATCTACGACCTATCCAGTAAAAAAAAAAAATATCCGAACTTCTCCAACAATTAGTTACATGTATGAATCACCAACAAAAAATCAGCAAATTTCCAAGTTAACCATGTAGTTGTCCAAAACGTTGCAGGAGGAGGTGCAGGCGCCTGTGTTCAACTACCCTGGAGTCCTGGACCCTGGTCCCTCCCTCAAACTTACCTCAAAATGCAAAACCACATTTACTCCCCTATTCAAATATCGCAACTACCAACTACCAACTACTCCGCCTCCCCCCTATAAATTACACCCCTCAACCCTAACACGTCTCGCTCAACTCATCCTCACTTCACTAAACCAAATCCCAGATGCCTCGCTCTCTCGCTCTCCTCTCCTCCCTCCTCGTCCTCGCTCTCATCGCTGTCGCAGCTCCAAGGGCCGAAAGCGCGATTTCATGCGGAAGTGTGGTCTCCTATCTGGGCCCTTGCATTAAGTATGCGCAGGGCCAGGGCCCGCTGACGCCGGGGTGCTGCAGCGGCGTGAAGGGGCTGAATGCTGCTGCGCAGAGCACACCTGCGTCCGCTGGGATCAGTGGGCTTAACCCTCAGCTTACCGCCGGGATTCCTGCCAAATGTGGTGTTAATATTCCTTATGCTATTAGCACTTCCACTGACTGCTCTAAGTAAGCATTCTTTTTTTTCTTTTTTTTTGCACCAACAAGCCCTTAACTTTGGATGATTATCAGATAACCCGCTGTCACTTTCAAAATATCAGAATACCCTCCACTTAATTAATTTTATGGGTTACCAGAAAGCTTCCTTCAACATTAAGATTTTGTTATTAGAACACCTGTCAGCTGTGATTTTCTCATGGGCGGGTAAAATTATACAGATAGGGACAAGCTTGTCGGTGATATTAAGCCTAATGTCCATAAGAATTTTTATCAGTGTATCTGAACTCCAAACCTGTGAAAATGTTTGAGAATTTTGGAGAAAATAATTAATTAGTTATCTAAGTGCTAGCTTATTTAGTTGTCATTAATTAAGTACGCTTACCTGCCACTAATTAAAAAGGTCAGCGTTACACATTAATATTAAATGTTAATAGAGGTTTGTACATGGAATATTTGACATATATGCTAGCTAGTTGATCAAACTGGTTTATCTTGTCGAATATGCATCCTATAAACATGCATTTTAGTTAATGTAACTAATTAATTAAGCCATCTGGAATAAATTATTTTTGTTATTTCTTTACGTTATGAGCGATAACTCTTATGAAGATAATTAATGCACTGGCCTTTGGTTTGTTATGCAGGGTGAAATAAGAGCTCTTTATGAGGTGGGGACATAAAAATCTCTAGTAGGGGTTATTACATAGGAGATTAGAGTAAAAATAAGGTGGAGGCTGTTCTTGTTCATGATCATGTGCTGATTGTGGGGATTAGTCTCTGTCACCATCTTAGTTTGTGCTCGTGTTTTGGCCTGTAATCTGCTGTTGCTTTCGTGCTGTGGACTTTGTAGTATTGTTGTCTTTATCATGAGATCAATATATATTTCACTTGGGTTATTTTACGTATATATTTGCTGGCTTTGTCTTGTGTCCTTTTTTTTAGTCTCTGTCAACCATTTTCAGGTCTGAAATGAATTCCCCGATTTTATGTACTTAAAGCGTCTTGTAGATTAAGGCTTAACAGTTCATAATTTCCAAGGCAAATCTTTAACAATTTGAAATTAATTCCTGAAATTAATATTTTGCCCCCTAATTATCAGAAATCTTCCTTTAATATTATTAAGATTTTGTGAGAACACCAACCCAACCCCACCCCCCCAAAAAAAAAGCTCCAAAGGAAAAAAAAAAAAGAGAGAGAGAGAAGAGCCCTCCAACTGTGTTAGCCACAATTTTCACATGGAAGGGTAAAATTACAACAGTTGCATGCTTGGCCCCCTGATCCCGCACTTCCTTGCCTTCTTGAATGTTATCAAAATGCTAAACGAAAAATGAGGGATATTACATCTCATTTCCGTATTCTTTTTCATGTGAATCAAATCCAAGATCTTGAAAGTCATATTGAAACCTCTCTAACTATCTGGATCATTTATGATTCCTTAATCTTATTCTCATGTTTGGTTAACTTATTTTGATTCATAATGGGATTGATATTAAAACTTTATAAACTTAGCAAATTCTCCATCCACCTTTTACATCTCACTCAATAGTGTATAGTATATTGGCAATATAAACAGCCCATTAAATATCTTTAAATAGCAAGTAACAGCAATAAATATTTCTTTAAAATCCCTAATATTTTTAGAAATCGCACATCACCCCCTCAAATTTTACAATTTACCCCTAGAAGCTCAAAATTTTGCAGTTTACCCTCTAAAAATTACAGTTTAACACCTAAAAGTTTTAGAATTTGCATTTTACCCCAAAATTGACTCCCCTTGAAATTTTCAGAACTTGCAGTTTACCCCAAAAAATTTCAGTTAACACTAAAATTTTTAAAATTTGCAGTTTACCCCAAAATTTGCAATTTATCCCCTAAAAGTTTCGGGATTTGCACTTTACCCCAAAGATTACAGGTTATCCCCCAAAATTGCAGTTTACCCCCAGAAAGTTTCAGAATTTGTAGTTGACCCTTCAAAAAATTGCAGCTTACCCTAGAAATTGCAATTTATTCCCTCTAAAAGTTTCAGAATTTGCGGTTGATCCCTCAAAATATTGCAGCTTGCTCCCCTTACAAGTTTCAAAGTTTATAGTTTACCCCCAATAAATTGCAATTTTCCCCCAATAAATTGCAATTTTCCCCCAATAAATTACAGTTTATCCCCTAAGAATTATAGAATTGCAGTTTACTCCCTAAAAAATGCAGTTTACCCCCTAAAAGTTTCAGATTTTGCAGTTTACCCTCTAATAACTGTAGTTTACCCTTTCAAAGTTTGAGAATTTGTACTTTAACCCTAAGAAATTATAGTTTACCCCCAGAAAGTTTCAAAAATTGCAGTTTACCCCTCTCATTTAACATATGTATTGTATAAGGTAAGAGCATAATGGCAGTGAAAACTGAAAAGTCTCATGATGCTAATTAATACTAAGGGGTGGTGAAATTTCCTAGTGCCCATTTTGAAGATTAAGGAGAAATCCTAATCACCCTAGCTAATATCCTAGCACTAGTAGAAAAACGAGCAACCTAGACGGAAATTTCCGTCTAGGTTGATCCAAATTTCGTCTAGGTTAGTTCAACTAGACGGAATTCCGTCTAGTTAGGTCCGTTTATTTTGTTTCCGTCTAGGTTGACTCAAACTAGACGGAATTCCGTCTAGGTTGATCTAGTTAGGTCCGTTTATTTTGTTTCCGTCTAGGTTGACTCAAACTAGACGGAATTCCGTCTAGGTTGATCAATCTAGACGGAAGTCAACCTAGACGGTCTAGGTTGACTCAAACTAGACGGAATTCCGTCTAGGTTGATCAATCTAGACGGAAGTCAACCTAGACGGAAGTAAGAAATCCGTCTAGGTTAAAAAATTTATTTCACATATTTTCACATCACAAACTTAAATATCACACCTACTTATAGCACGAATGAAACTTAAATGAGTTAGGATTTATAGGTGTTTAAAAAAAATATAATTACTAGGGTTGTTCAAATGAATTAACATGTAGTTGAGTTAGGGTTTTCAGAATTGAACTCGTTTATTTTTTTATCATAAATTAGGGTTTTTAAACTAAATTCAACAATAAATAATAATAAAATTAAAAATTCTAAAGCTCAGTAGAAAAATCATACATTTTAAGCAAATGAAACAACGGACACGCCGATGATCACGATTAGCCTGCTGGAAAATTAAGGAAGGGGACGGGGGGGCTGTTGTTAGTATGATATGCCCTAGAGACCAATCATAGAGATGATTGTGTTTAATTTATGTTTATGCAACTTCTATGAATAATCTGTTATTCGATCCCTTGAATAAATCACTTATTATGGATCATTAAGAATGTGACTTGAACGTGAAACTCTGTAATTAGATTATGATATTATTCTAAATAGTCCTTGTCTTTTGTCATTGGTTGGGACACTAATGATTTTATAGGCAGTATGTGGATTGATTGATGATCATGTTTCATGGATCATGGATATGAGATATCAAGTCAATCACATGGGTATATGTTGGTGAACATGATACTGGACTGACCCGCTATGAAACACTACATGGATTATATGTGTCATCAGTAGGTTTCATACAATGGTTATGTTCGGTCTTTTGACATGAGATTATCACGGTTTTCTACATGAGGATTGTATACTTTGATGTTACCAAACGTTTTTCCTAAACGGATAATAATAAAGGTAATGGTCAAGATGGAATTTGCCCCTCTCATATAAATGAGAGTATGATATCTCTGAGCCCCTCGAAGAAGATAGACTGAGAAAGTGCATGGCCATGTCTAATTAGTTGAGAGTCAACTATTGAGAAGTCAGTCTAACTTCAGGTGCGAGAAATTAAAAGTTGAACTGTATAAGGTTGACACGCTTCCTGCCTTGAGTTCAATCAAGATATCTAGTAATGAAGAGACCGACATATGTCCATTGTGGACTAGGTTTTGTCTGAGATGACCTTTACATGATTTGGGTAGTCATAATGTCCTGCTAGGATCCGCTTATGACTTGTGGGCTGAAAAAGTATTTTGACTCACTGTCAACATCGTGTAAACCTATTGGGTCGAACACAAGAACATGTTGGAACATTATTAAGAAGGCCCGCATAAATTTAGTCGTATAGAGATATGATTAGTTGTGAGGCAATCGGGTAATTGGATAAGGATTGATTAGATTAATCATGTTTGAAAGAAATACTAACCAAGTTCAATGAACCTATCTCCTAGCAATCAAATTGATATGATCAATCACGGTTTAAAGATATGATTTGATTTGAACAAATTATATTTTGAGAAACTGTCTGATTGGAATCCCAATCTCTTTACGGTTTGAGAAACTATGTCACAGCCCTATAAAAAGGGGCATGGGATGGACCTTTTTTATCATCCCACCGTGCTTCTGAAATCGTGAGAGAGAGAGAGAAACTCCAAAGGCCGCCGTCTTCAAAGTGCTAGCACACTGACGCGCGGAGTTCCAACAAGTTCGTGTGGATACTAATAGAGACATCTCTTCAATTGCCGCACAACATCTCAACGAGTACGCAAGTCTTTGTTATTTATCTGCACGTTTGAGGTAATTTTTTATCTTGGATCTTCTTCTACGTATGGATCTTATGATATAGGCGGTCAAAAAATTTATTTTAACTGCATATTAGTCTGCCTACTTTCGCAAGTCTTTGTTATTTATCTGCACGTTTGAGGTAATTTTTTATCTTGGATCTTCTTCTACGTATGGATCTTATGATATAGGCGGTCAAAAAATTTATTTTAACTGCATATTAGTCTGCCTACTTTCCAACAG